CCAGAACCCGCTTGCCTTTTTCCTCTCAAACCCCCTCCCCCCGACCCATTGTCTTCCAGTCCAGGAACCTATGGAAATTGGTCATTCCCATCTCACCCATCAGGAACGGGAGAAGCGTCTACACGAGGGCCGTCGTCTGTACTGTGGACACTCTGGACACCTTCGTCTAAACTGCCCATCCTGCCCACCACAGCGCCTGCTATTTGGCCCCAAATGGCAGGTGAGTCGAGGACAGTGTTCCATAGCTCCTACTAATGCCTTGTCAATCCCAGCTCTCCTGTCCTGGAGCAACAATAAGCGAACTCGTCTCATTTTTATTGATTCAGGAGCCACCAGAAACGTTTTAGCCTTCTCTGTGGCACGTTCTTGGAACATCTCCTTGCTGCCCATGTACACCCCTCTGCAAGTGCAGGCCTTGAACGGATCCCTTCTTTCTTCGGGCTTCATAAATTGGCAGACCTCACCCCTGTGCTTAAAAATCGGTGCTTTACATTCTGAACATATACAATTCTACCTTCTTGAATCTCCCACCGTAGTCGGGTTGACATTAGAAGCTTGCCACGCCTGGACTGTTACACCAACGTATTAGCATGTTAAAGTGATTTCATTGAGGAGCCTAGCTTTCTTAACTAGTAAGTACTGTAATTACTGGGTGGATTTGGAGGGAGGGAGGTGTCTTTCGCTGGAAATCTCGCCCCCTTCTACTTTGAAAATACCTGTGAAACCGGTTTAATTCATCACAGCCAGCACTCCTGCAGAGAGGGGGCTTGTACTTGCAGTGCATGATTAAATGATTAAATCTTTTCACTACCGACCAATGCACCACGAGTGCCCCTGTCGGTCATTTTGGCCAGCCAATCACTAACCGTGGTGCCCTGCGGTGGCTTTCCCGTACCGCGGTTTTGTACCGTGCATTTTAAATGGCTGCATCTGTAGATGGGCTTTAATTTTCTCCAACTTCAACTTCACTATTACTATACCCCAGGTACCAAGAATATCAAAGTGGATGCCCTTTCACACCTCTGTGAACCCCTAATGTCGATCATCCCCTGGAACACATCAGTCCACCATACAAGATCCTTGCTGCTGTATGAAGGCATATCGCGGAGTGCCCTCGGGATAAACTTTTTGTAATCAACTCTGTAAGATCCTTGATCCTACAGTGGGGACATGATTCCCGTTTTTCGGGTCATCCAAGAATTAAATGTACACACTAATTGATTTCAAGAGATTTTTTTGGCCTACCATAAAAGGTGTCAGGGATTATGTCCGGTTCGGGCATGCATTGTTTGTGCCCGAATCAAGATTCCTCGTTCCAAGACCCCCAGGTGATCTGCAACCTTTAGCCACTCTGGCTCATCCCTGGTCTCACCTCTTCGTTTAATTTATTACAGACCTTCCTGTTAGCCAAAGTTGCAATACTATCTTAGTTATTGTTGAGAGGTTTTCCAAGTCTGCCCATTTCATTCCTCTCCCTTCGCTTCCCTCTGCTCAGGAACTCGCTGACCTATTCATTCAACATGTTTTCCTACTACATGGAATCACAAAAATGTTATAGTTTCGGATGGAGGTCCCTGATTTATATCTAGGTTTTGGAAAGGCTTCTGCAAATCACTCAGGGGCTCTGTCTCCTTGACATCCACCTATCATCCCCAAGCAAATGGGCAGACCGAAAGGATGAATTGGGAACTTTTGACTTTTGTAAGGGCATATATCTCCTCCTCACAGAACAACCGGGTTTCCCTGCTACCCTGGGAGAATATGCACATAATTCCCTTTCCACCTCTCCTACTGGCTTGTCTCCATTCCAATGTTCCTTGAGCTAACAACCATCTCTATTTCCTCATTCCCTCCCAGATATTCAGGTGCTGTCGGTTCAGGAATATTTAGTCAAGATACACAAAGTCTGGAAGACAGCAAAATCAGCTCTCCAGTATACCAAGAGTCACCAGAAGCAGACGGCGGATAAACATTGGCAAGTGGTACCCGGGCTCAGACGAGGACAATGGGTTTGGTTGTCTACCTGCAACCTCCCTCTGTGGTACTCTTTTCAATAAACTGGCTCCTCGCTTTATCGGTACGTTTCATGTACTAGCCCAGATCACCACACTTACTTATCGCTTAGCTCTCCCTCCTTCTTTAAAGATCCACCCAACTTTCCATGTTTACCTCCTTAAACCTTGTCACAGATCTCCCCCTTTCAAAACCACACCCTAGAACCCCACTCCCCCGCATTATTGATGGTCTCCCAGCATTTAATGTGAATAAAATTCTGGATTCCTGTTGGTCCAGTTGAACTTTACAATATCTTGTTGATTAGGAGGGTTTCGGACCCGAGGAGAGGTCTTGAGTCGCAGAAAAGGATATTTTAGACCCTCAACTAATCAAAGATTTCCATCTTGATTTTCCCAACTGTCCATCAAGGGTGTCAGGAGCTGCCCCTGGGGAGGGGAGTAATGTTACATCAGGCCCCCAGAGAATTCACCACCCTTAATCAACTCCTTCACATTCTAGTGGAGTCTCCAATTAACTAATCAGATGAACCTTCTTCCACCTGCCTACTTAAACCAACCTGATACACAACTCCTTGCTCAGTATTGGGTTTTTACCTAGCTAAAGCTTCATTGTTTCCTGCTCCCTGTTTTGCAAGAGTTCTAGGTTTTTGGCTCTGACCCCTGGCTTTGTCTCTGACTTTGTCTTCTGGATCTCGACTTATTATTGTTATTGTGGATTTACTATCAGTATAAATGTAAACAACACTAAATTTTACAACCAGCTACAGGTATGTATTCGTTGCAGTTTCTACGTCCCTGCTGCAATTTAATAAGCAAACATCTAACACAGCTGATCATTTCTTATCATATTCATATCATATAATTTACCAACATGCATTGCTTTTGCAAGTCAGCATTCCTCAGAGATACTGTATAATGAAAATTAATTTATTTATATTTGTACATCATGGCTCTTATCTCTTAGGTTGGAGATTGAATGTGATTTTTTGTTTTCTTTCCACATACAAATTGCCTGCAAGGTTTATGTTGTTTTTACTTGTCTTTCCCAGCCCTAGCCTGCATAAAACTGCAAGTGCCAACACACATTGCTGAGAACAAGAAAATAATTTTCAGTACATATCATTGTTAATGCCCCTGGAAGTACAATTGTTTTATGTTTTCTAACTTCTGAATGGCTTGCCCACTCAGTTACCAACTTGCTTTTTATAAATCTGAAAAAACAAACCAGAAAAAAGTCCTTGACATTTCAGCTCATTTCACCAGTACCTGGATAAAACATTATTTCTGTATTTCATCATTTTTATGAGTAATCTTTCTTTCAAAATCTAGAACTACATACAAAGGCTGGATAACTTGAGTTATATTCCATGCTCACACCACAATAGAAAGTAACCTTGCCGAGGCCTGTGCATTTCATGGCTTCTGTGGGTGATTACATTTAATTGTTGAATGTATGATGGATTAATTTGTGTTAATACATTCCTTCCTTTGAAAGTACAAACACAAAAGCAGTCAGTTTAGATATGAAATATTAATTTTAAATGTAAGTGTACATTACATCCAGAAAATACTGTGCTTTAAAAACACTTTAAAAAAACAGCACTTGAAATTTACCTTAGTCATCTTTATCTACTTCCTACTCATTAAGTGACTACTGCCTTCTGAAATTATCATAAATATAAGTATATACTAAACACCAAAAGAATCTGTAACTGCAACAATTTCACAAAGTTAAGAGGGAAGTACTGAAATCTTTTTTCAAGACATTTGGTTTCTAAATAAAAACTCAACACACCTTCTTGTGCTGCTTGTGTGACTCTTTTCTTGTGATGGCCTGCTTACCAGACTTGAGTCCAATTGAATATTTGTGGGAAGAGCTGGAACAATGTGGAATCTAGGATTCAGAAAATAGTCAATTACCACAAGCTTGTTTTAGGATCTACAAGAGTAACTGAATATAATTCTAAAGGACAACATCTGAAAACATGGGTAAAGCATGCATCAGAAAAATACAGCTTGTTTAACTCAGCAGTGGCCATACTCTTTTTACCTGGGATTTTGACAGTTTCATTGTTGATGATAATGATCAATTAGCTGTTTGTTAAAATAAGAATGAACCTTACTAAAATATATTTTCATCTTTTTAATAACGTTGGGAATCTGATGCTATTATAATTGATCCATTTGTTTTACGCTTACCATAGTGGCAAAACGTTTTCATTTCGTGGGTTATACTGACCTCTGGTGGACTTTAAATTAATTACTAACTGCACTATTTGCGACAATACTTGAAAACATAAAATGCTTGGTTGTTTAAATAAAGTTGGCAAAGCTAATTAAATATTTATCTCTTGTATTTGTGTGTTTTCATCGCTTAATAACGTTAAACATATATCTGTTTCACGCACACATCCTTTTAGGCAAAAAACATTTACGTTTGTTCAGTTTTTAACTTGGTACTTTAACCACTCCTACAGGAGCTACAGTATAATCGATTATAGTACATCATAATTCATAAATCGTAAAATAATAAAATGCAATAGTTTATTTAGAGAAATTATAATACAGTCTCATTTCAAAACTCCATGCAGCTTTGGGTACAGACCGACAGCTATTAGACGTCAGGTACCAGCGTTTATCTATGTTTTGTATTAAATTGGTATATGAAAAGGCTGCATTGTAGATGTATAAGATTCACAAACCAATAAATTATTAGGTTAAGATAAAAAAATAGGCTTTACAACAGGACTGACATTATTTCAAATCCCATTAAGCTGTACGTTACAATATTTTAAAAACATGCTCATAATGACAAACAATAACAAAAAATCTTCATTGGTTTGTAGTCTTTTCTAAAGAGTAGCGTGACTTGACTAAAGCAAGACACAACGGAAGCTGCGCAAGTCCATTTCCACACAATCACAGATCCATAGCAACCAGCTCCGAAGCTTTTTAAACATGAGTGATGGGTGAATCACGCAATCAAACAGCCCGGATTTGTGATCTGCGTGATTCAGGTCTGCGACTCTCCAATTGGAATTACAGAGGCAGTACTTCCTTAACTGTCTCCTTTGTTTTTGAAAGAAAGTGTGGAATATAACATCGTATTCTTATTTTATAAAGATAAGTAGTGTGCAATTTCTTTTGAAATCCCGAGCAGGGATATATATATATAGTTTTCCAAGAAAAATGACAAACCCAGTGGAAGAGGTTGCTGCATCATTAGTAAGGGAATATCTCAGTCGGAAGGTAAATTACTAACTGGCTAAATACTATATTTTAAGAAAGCTAATCATTCATGTTGTATAATTCGAAAATTGCATTTTAATACGGTTTACAGTACATCGTGTTCCATTCCCCCCCTGTTGTTTCATTTATGTATTGTAGATTTTTAAATGTAAATTGTGGAAGACAAATAAGTCGGCGTTACAGTAGTATTTTTGGCCAAATTTCGAAAACGTTTTCTTTCAGCTCTACTTAACTGGCTTTTGTTTTGTTGTTTTTTTTGTACCCATAGACGACACATAAAAAGGTGTTGCCTACCTTTAACCTCCATGCAAAAGCACATGGTACTGCAGCTGTATCGATAGCTGATCTTACTAACGTATTCCGCTTTTTTGTTGATTCCCATACATACTTTTGAAATATTTGATTTATAGAACGACACATTTGTACCACGGATATCTTACTCCACTGCATGTATTTTAAAGACTAAAGTTCAAGATAAATGTATCACAACAACATAAACGCATACACAAAAATAAAATATGAAATCCCTTTTATTGACTTCTGTATGATCGTGGTGGCCGTAAGATTTTAAATCTTCCAAATCATGCGAGTCTTATTTTCTTCCCTGCATCAGTTTCAGTTTACACGAAATTTCCAGTGAAGGCTACACTGGCTCCAGGTATAACAGTAAATGCGTTAAGACCAGTAGGTGGCACTCTTTCCAATGAACATCAGAAATTCTAAGTTATTAATATGACAAGTTGAAATGGGCTGTTGTCCTTCAGATAAAATTAAGGGAGCTTTTTGATTACAAAGCCCAGGACACAATTTCTGAGATATGAACTGCACAAATCATGTTTTCCTGGCTAAATTCCAATTCATTTTTAATTTTGGCCACTTATTTCTTCTCTCAGTTTAATTTAAGTAGCCTATTTCTTCACTTGTTCACTTTAGCTACTGCTGATACTGAATAACTGCCACGTGTCACCTACAGTAGGTGTGTAGTGTAGTCTCAGTGGTGGGTTACTACATATAAAAGATTAAATAAACTATGCAAATAATTGAAAATGTCTCTAGTTGATCCTACTGTTCATTATGTTACAGTCCATTTAAAAAATCTTCTCCTTTGGTTCCTTAGACCTTAGAATTTCTTCTCAGAAGACAAAAATGCAGTGTTTGGCTTTTTTGAAAAACATTCATTAAAAGCTGTTTTTTGGATGTTGAACTTTGATGTAATTACTTAAGTGAAGTTCCAGATATTTCATAGGGACTGCTTTTTTGACAGTCTCATTGGTTGAAACATGTATACATTTAGATATGGACTGTCATCAAATAATAAGATGTATGCAATCACGGTTATTTCAAAACATATCCCTTTGTTTGCTATCTATTATCTATGTAGGGATTAAAGCAGACAATTGCTAGCATGGATCAAGAACTTCCAAGGACTGATTTAAGCATTAACAACAGAAGTGATCTTCGAAGAATCTTGCATTTGGAGTCTCTTTATAAAAAGAATAAGGTAATTGCAACAGTTGAGAAATGGTTCTGGAACTCTCAGACTGTGCATTAGGATCTTATTTCAAATGCAGCATTACATTTTCTATTTTTTGCACTTTGTTGGCTAATGTGACTCCACACATGCAATCCTTATTGTTCTCTTCCTTTTTGAATTTCAGGCCCAGGAAACCCCTTTAAAAGCAATGCTAGAGATTATTGTAAAGCACCACATGGAAAAATGTGGAGAGACGAGGAGTAAGACTAATAGTAGCAGTGAGCAAGATCATTGTGCATTTTTATTTCAGCCAATTGTAGTGCCTAAGGCTAAGTCTACCATTGTGCCAGCTGTTAGTATGCATGATATCTCTGAAGAGGAGAAAGGAGGAAGTACAGCTGTATCTGACCAAAGTAAAACTGATGTTTACAGGTATGACAGAAAATTTCTTTATTAAACATTTCATTAATCAAATATGTTGGATTTTAAACTAATGTCTGAGGAATCCTCACAGTACAAGTAGCCTTCACCAGTTCTGAAATAACACAAGACAAATATAATACCCTTTAGACACTTATTTTAAAATAAAAACATAAAGAGTTATTAATAAGGCTAAGTTCTTTATCTGTTTCAGTATTGAATTCTGATAATATATATATATACGGTACATAGAGGCAACTTTTTTAGTATTTAATATGGTTTGAACAATGGAATTTTCAATTTACACTGCAACTTACAACTCTTTGCCTTTTTTTCCTTTGCAAAGCTTCTTGTAAGGACTGATTTGGAAATGTTGGTAATGGAAAATTAGATTGAAATCTTCCAATGTAAAATTATAATATTGTGTACTTGCAGATATTTGTACTGATTTTACCAAATCACCTTTTTATTTTTGAAATTTCCAGATAAACCTGATAATTAGGAATGTACATAGTTATCATTAAATGTGATTTTGATGGGTATTGAATATTTTTTCATTAAAAAGTTTTTAATAAGAACTGCCTCAGCAGTTTCTCCCTTTATTTTTATTATGCAAAGGGATAATTGACGTTCATACAGTATTTCACCAGATGACATATGATATGATTTCCATTGATGTCACTTGTACATCTCTTTTAGTAAATTGCTGTCTCTTCATGGAGAGATATGCCTTTGATAAAAGGGACAATTTAAAAAACAACTGAAAGTAATGAAATGCACGTTTTAAGTATCATTTATACTTGTATTCTTTTTTTTAACCAGCACCTAATGTTTTTTCTACAGAATGTGGAGGAAAGAGGTGAAGACCTGTATAGATTATTTTCACTGATCATTTAACATCTAGATGGCCACATTAGAAATGAAATAACATTTTCTGGCAGCCTTTAGAATTTTTATATTTATTTTGTATGTTTTGTAAAAATTAGACATGTGAATCACAACATTTCTATTGTGCCAAAATGTGCGAGTGAATACAGAGTCATATGGTCACTGTAGTTACAAAGAAATGGGATGCTTCTAACATTATTTTTTAGAACTTCGTAATTTTTAACCTCTGTTGCTTTTTTTCTATTTTTAGAGCTTGTAAGGATGCACTTCTCCCATCTAATAAATGGCCTTCACCTCAGAAGTCTCAGTTTGACTCTAAAAAAACAGTGAAGCATTTGATAAGCACCAGCTTAGTTTCAGAAAGTGAGAAAGACAATCACATTAAACCTTCCTTTTCAGAAATTGACAATGATAGTTTTAAAGCTGATTTGTATTTAGAAAAAAAGAACATTTTTTCAGAGATTCAAAAACATAGAAGCAGTCGCTTTGTGCGTGGAATGATGGCTGGTCCTATTGCTAGTTCACAACAGGTTAGTGACTTTTTATGCACAGATTTTGCAAAGGTGAATTACATTTTTGTATTATTGTTTTTCACTTAATTTCACATTTTATTACTGATGTGTGTTGATCATTCCCATCACATACTTTTGAATTATTTGCAGGGGCACTTAAAATACATTTGGCGGATATGCCCAATGGCCTCTGTGGAATACCATTTTCAAGTGCGATTTATTTCCAGATTAAGTCTTTTTAATGTGGATTACAGAGAGGAGATTATACATGATTAATCTAGAATATGTATTGACATGCAATCAATATCATTTTCTTGTGAACTGTATACAGTATATCTACCAAACATGTATTTGGTTTAAAAATATAAATGATAAATATTAATACATTGATCTCTACTCCTATATACAGTTTGTATGTTAAGGTATGCAATTGGTGTTCTTTACATACAATAAAAAGATTTTAGCTCAGACCAGACATGTTGCCTGTTAACATTTTCTGTTTACTTTATGGACACTGATGGGCACTAATCTAACTTTATTTTAGATAAAAAACTCTAGGAGTATGGCTAATACTATTTTTAATTATCCTTAGGAATGAAAAATAACCAATAGGGAGCATTTATGTAACATCAAACTGTGACTATATGTGTGATCTTTTTATTTTCCTTCACCAGGAATGTAACAGAAAACGTCAACCAAGAAGACCATCTGGATCAAGTTTTATTCTTCAGTCAAAAGATGAAGATAAGAAAGAAAATTCTGTTCTGTCTCTAAAGGATGGTACTCCAATAAGTACACAATCTAGTAAAACTGCATCCATTGAAGATGCTTTTACAGATGTGCTTTCTCAAAGAGAAAGAAAACAATCTTGTGATACACAAGAAGAGAAAAGGGTTTCTAAACTTCAGACTGGGCTGAGAAAATGTAATGATTCCCTCAAAACTGACAACATGGAACTGAAGAATAAAGAGGAAAATGAACTGTCTAAGGATCTTCTATATAAGTAAGTAATATATGTTTTTTTTGTAACTTAAAAAAAATAACAAATAGAGAAGATACAATGTTTGTAATAATCCCAGGACAATTCAGTTCTTCAGCACAGAAAGATAAAGAAAAGTCTGGCTGTCTGTAATGTAACAACTTTGTACAGAATGTATGGTACACTCCTGTCTTGGAGAGCTGCAAGAATCTTAAGTATTCATTACAGTTTAATTTCTTTGTAAAATTGAGCAACCAAGCAGATACATTGTTTATCTGTTGTCCAAGATATTTTATAATTGGAAGATTGACACACACTGACACACTTCAGTTATTTATAGAACATTTTAAATCATGGGAAGAAGCATGTTTAGTCACAAAACAGTAGGACCATTAAAAAACATACTGTAGCTCTGGTGTCCAAAGAAAATAAACAGGTCACTATAATACTGTACAGCACTCCAAGAACTAGGTTTCCTACTGTGTGACAGGATTTTTCTTTCGGAAATGCAGTGCAGAGCATTTTAAAGATTAATTAAACACTACTCCAGCATATATTGGACTTATTCTAGAAGTTCAAGAGATTTTGTGAAACTGATGCACTTTTTTCTTCAGTACCAAAGGCAATGGATATTTATTAAACTTATGAACTAGTTCAGTATTTTCTTACTTTTTGTATTAGCGTTTTTATTAATACAAAATATTAAATACTAGAGCTACGCAATATTTGCTTTATTCTTGTTGAGTTTTATCAGTTGTTATTAGAACACATTGCTAAATACACATTTTTATCTAAGAATGTTTAATAAAGGAAAGGGGTGTACAGTCCTGCACATTCTTAGATGCATGGGGGTGGAAGTACTGGGGAGGCATATTAAAAAGCAGATAAGATTAAACTGATCCAAGGATTGTTTTGAAGTACAGTAAGTGTATTATTATGGACACTAATGTTTATTCAGTGAAACAATTCATTAATATTTGCACTGAGGTGTGGCACAAAAATTATTCTGAATGTAAAAAATCTTCTGTTGCAATAAACCCAGTATACAAAGTAGAGAATATTCTAATTCAGATTTATACCAGCACATGATGATGGGATGCAAAAGGGGGAAAAAACAGAAAAATCTTAGGGCAATTAGGTCTATAATTTAGTAGAGGCCTATCAAATGAAAAAATAAAATTCACTTTATATCAAACTTATTGAAAACTAATATGAGAACAAAAAGAACATGTTTGTTGGAGCAAGCTACACCCACTAAGTATGCAACCAAAATGCAAAGCTAATGATGACTGATCAGAGATTTCAACAACTACTGGAGGTATCCCTACTCACCATTGCTACATTACTGTTATTGTTTGCAATCATGCTCTTCCAAAATGCCATCTTTGGAGAGAGTCATGAATGCAAAGACAAACTCTCCACTTTACAATCTACTTCAAAGCAGCTTGGAGCTGAATATGATTGAGGAAATCTAATATAAGCAGTGAACTGCAACCCACAGATCAATATTGCAAGTATTGATCATGTGTAGTGATGAATCTTTGGATGCATTTTGTAAAAGGCATGATTCAATTCCAATGCAACAGTCATCATTTTACAAATAAAATAAGATTAAGTTAAAAAAACCAACAACATTAAAAAGGCTATTAGATGCAGGTTAAAAATATTAGAAAGGCAAAGAATGTGATTTAATGTAATCTTGATGCAGGCTGAAAGTTCAGTATTAAATAATATTACCTTATTAGAACTGTGGAAGATTCAGAATGTTAGGCTTACCGGAGTCAGCTAGAATAAATCTTCTGGGCCTGAAAGTATTCTACCAGTTTTACTCAAATACGATATGGTAATTAAGTAACATTATAGTCTGTCATTTTTTACAAACAAGGTTATGCAGACAATAATTACAGCTTGCCATACTGCCATACTGTACATCTGTAGGGCAGTAGGATTCAAAGTTACTGCTAATGTAGATTTGAATAGGTCTTGCTTAACAAATATGTACTGTATGTATTTGAACAAGTAACAGCAGCAATTGATATGAACAAAGTGTTTGATATTATACTATGGAGGGAGTCTGATATAAGCAGGCTTAAATTTAAAGCAGAAAATCATGTTGTGATACCATCTTGCAAGAATGAGAAAACACCTGTTGCCTTAAATTAATTTAATTTAACCCCCCCCCCCCATAGGTAACAATATGGTATATTTTGATTTTTCAAAGGTTTTTGACGGATTTTCCTATAAAACATTAATTGCAAGCTTTTAAGCATTCATGTAAATGCATGTACTGTATATAATGTTTCTGACTTACAATGAGAATTAGTGCAGCATTTTTTAAAATGAAGTTATTCAGATTTAATATTCTCATAGACTACATGTTGTAATGCGGGGAAGAGTAGCCCAACAAAATTTGTCATCACCCTAGTATCATATTTAGTACATATTAAATTAAAAAAATATGAATTAAGCATCATTAAACAAAACACCCCCCAAAATAAATAAAATACATTAACGCATACTAAATAAAAGACTACTTAATAAATAGTTTATTGGTACTTTACTTATCAAACTACAGGGCTAAGTTTGCTTGTCCAGGACCAAATTTTGCATACAACTGTATATCCTTTATTATGTTCTTATACTATGAGTGGTTATCGTGCAACTGATCAGAAGATGCCGCAGTTACATTAGACCTTTATAATTATAGGCAGTAGTACTACTGTTGCATGGTAAGCGTTTAAGAGTGCTTTGGCTTCTGAGAAGAAAATATTGTATGACAAATGGATAAAATGCTCAGAAATACAAAAGTTTTATGTTTATACATTCTATGTAAATACTGTATTTGCACATTAATATTTACATCAACCATAAATACTTAATGGAATTCAAATGTATAGTCGTTCCAGATGAAAAACCAACTCTTTTCTTACAATTTAAAGAATTTTTACTCATTATACAAGCAGTGCTTGTGACTGTGGTTTCTCAACCCACCTTTAAGAATGCACCATTTCAGCACAATGGTAAGCAGACTTTTCGTGCACTCTGCAATTTGTTTCATAATTTAGATATGCTAGTTTCCAAATTTCTTTAAGATATTCTTGGTTTTACACAGAATATGACTTTAGCCGAAGTGCAAACTCCACAAAATGATTATTTCAGACAAAAAAAACTTTGGGGGGCTTAAACTACACCTGCCAAGTCTGTTTAATCTTTGATGATTGAAAAACAACATAGGCAAACTGAATGCTAATGTGAAGTTCTTGCGTTAATTTCACAGTGCCTGGATAGTTGCATGTGGTAGGATGTGGCTTGACTACAGTCTGTTGGACAACAAAGTTAGGTGATAGGTTTTCATTACACTGGCCAGATAGAGACAAGGACATAACAGGTAAACATCATGTAGAAGGGGTATGTTGTAATGGTAAACTGCATTTGGTTGGTCATACTGTAGTTGCTGCCAAATTATTGTTGTCAGAGATTGTGTGTTATTTACATGTTTAATCTCATTGGACTGCTTAGTGACTCTGAGTTGCTTTTATCTCCTTTGAGAGTTTCACAGCTTTTTATAACAATAAAAAAAATACTTTTTGTTTACATTCACCCTAAAGCTAATTTAGAAAAGTATCTAAAATCGTTTATGATGTTACTCTGAAATTGGACTGTACAGCCCCAAATGTTCCTAAGGTTCCCAAGTTGAATTTTAATAGTTGCACTTCAAAACTTTGTACTTTTAAGACCTG